CAGTCTGGATGAACAGCAGTCAAAAGAGCAGGTAGGTTTCCAACAGAGCTAAAGCACAACGGAAAGCAATTTTGCCTTGAGTCAACTCCTCGATCGCACGAGGGAAGTCTAGCTCCGTCTGTGCATTGCCTTCGTCGACACTTTCGAAACGACAAAGCATTCGACACTCCGAACATAACGTTGGCAGAACAGAGCATCGACACCCATTACGTCAACGTGCTAAAGAAAGCGAACCCATGCTCTAAACGAACATCACGCTGTTCGACATCCCTCTGGATTCCCGTAGAGGAGGGTGTGAAACAAAGTTAAAAATATCACCCAAGGTCTTAACTGCCTGCTTTGGAATGATGTGCCGGAGGACGAACTGAAAGGATGGAATTAGCGTCAGCGGTGATCAGCTCAGCCACTACAGTACACTGATGACATGGTGCTATTTGCGGAAAAGTCGATCAGCTACAAGACATGCTGCAATTGCTTGAGAGAATCAGTGCAGAAGTTAGACTGCGGATCAAAGATGACGATACTTAAATCAGAGGCGCCTTGTCGAAGGCCCCCTAAGTTATTAAACGGTGGGAAGGTAGAAAATGTGAATACGTACATTTATCTGGGCCACGAGATTAATATGCGGCATGATCATGCTGGAGAGTTTCAACGAGGAAATAGGACCGGGTGTTGCCCATTCCATTCCATTTTGAGGGCGTTCTTTTCGGCAGCGTCAGCAGAGAGACCCATTCTACCGTCCTGCCGGCAGTGCTGTGTGGCTGTGGCACGTAGTCACTCAGTAAAGCTAAAGAGTGCTAGCTCTCTGTCACGGAGAAATCCGTGGAAAGAAACATTTTCAGAATTTCACGTCGCGACTATATCGCAAACATGGAAGCGAAAGTCGTTGTCATCGAAAGTTTGAGGAAGAAGCTGCGTGGGACCGGTGTATAGTTCGGCTCACCGATGGCAGATTGTTGGCAATGATCATTTGCTTTTATCCTTTCGGATGGATTACACCGCTTTGTCACCACTTCGACAGGTGGGGGGAAGATCGCGCTTGGAGGGATAAAACTCAAAGGAGTGAGGAATGGCGAGCCTGTTGCATTCGGCCGGTACAAGTGGCGTGAATGTAGTGTAAAATTGGTATTGACGAATTTGTTTGTCATTCGGGGAAAATAGGCTGGCACTTTTCAAACAGCGGCTTTACTCGCATACTGTTAGAAATACGGATATTGAGCTACGGCCAATACTAGGACTGCGTTAAGGCGAACAGCATCTGCGTAAATTTTCTTGCATTTGCGGATGACATCGTATTGATAACAGATAATTTAGAGCCTTGCAACATCACCGTTTCTAATTCTGAATAATTGATATTCTGATCTAGGTTTCTGGATTAATGTAAATTAACGAAGACGAAGTGGGTGTAGATTGGTGTAACCCAGATCGAAGAGTGTCTGACACTCTTGACACCAAACTTGTGGAAAACAGACCAGGACATATGTATCTTGGGAGTGCATTGACCGCAGATGGTCGAATAATGGTAGGCCAAGTTTATGGCGAGCTGGGTGTTGGCGTTAGCAGCGAACAGCAAGTCAATCAAGCTCTGGAGCGACAAAGACGTTTGCAATAAAACAAAGCTATAGATATTCCGGACTCGCATTGTGAATATTTTTCTCTATGGCCTGGAAACAACAGCGTTTAACAGAACTGAAAACAAGAAGCTGTACGCGACGGTAACAATGAAGAGTTAAGGATCAATTTTAAGAGTGAAGTGGTAGTACCTGGTGTCTCATGCTGTTATACGAAAGACTAGAATATCCAAATGAAATGGCCTAAAAAAGGCGTGTATGAGGTTGGGGCCATTGCCAGCGAATGGACGAGAGCCGCATTGAGAACCGAATACTTAACATAATAGTCTGATTGTAGGCGACCGGCAGAATAACCTCTGACAAAATAGGAAGATCTCGTTATAACTGGCATGCCATCGAAGGTACTGTGAATGAGCAACATTTATTCGACCAGGATGGAATTTTTGTACTGTATCCTTCGTCGTCTTCGATGCAGTAAGATAAGAAGAAGAACATTATTGTTCATATTAAATCTTTCACCGTAATTTCGAACTTTATAATTATGTAACTTCCGTCATGGCATTTGTTCAAGACAGAATTGGTATTTTAGGTTGTTTTCCCACAAAATATTTCTGAAGAGGGTAGAAATGGACATGAAAAGTATGAAGGTGCAGTCCGGTAATGTGTTTGGTTTAAAGTCGCTGAAACTTTTGAAAATTGTGCGTTAACAGATTTCAGACTTCCGCCGATCACGATTCTTAAAAAGTTAGTGGAAGCACCGCTGTCACAGTCAAACATACTGAAGGTTAAACGCGTGTGAAATTTTTCTGTTGGTTGTTTGAGATCTTTGGCTTTCACCTAGGTGGTCGATTTACTGCAAAATGTACAAAAAACGTCTACGTTGGACGAGGAGGTGCAAAACACGATACAAAAAATAGTGAAGATTCTGAAGTCGACAGAGTTGTACAGCCCTTTGATTCCTCGGTTCAGCTACGAAGATAAAATTGCCTCAGACCTTTTCAGCGGCTTAGTAATGGTAAGATGTCGCTTTTGCTGTTCTCAGTTCATTTCATTTTGTTTATTGTATAATTATTGTTGTTTTAATATATTGTTGTACTGTGTTCGTCTCCTTACGATTTAATCTTTTTTAATTACCATCTTTCATTGAGTATAATCAACCATTTTGTGGCTTACTTCATAAGGTGTTTCTGAATGACGGATGCCATGCTTCCTGACTCAAAATTGCATTTGTCGGTAGAGTGAAAGGTTATTGCTTTTAAGTGGTTTATCAGAGCAGATTCTTATCTTTGATTATGACTTTTGTCCAGGCAAAGGAGCATTCGTCTAAGGATTTACATTTAAATTTGGAGATCACATGTCGCAAACGATATCAGACTATTCTTCTGTAAATATGGTTTCAATCTGAGGTATGATACTTTGAAAGTTGAACGTTTTTGTCATGTGAAAACGCTTGCACACAACCTCACCTGAAGACCGAAAGTTTGTTTCGGCGAGTCTCTTGTTCATAAAACACGCAGTTCTGTGATTCTTGTCCATTTTAACGGATGGGTAATTGCGCTGCTTTTTATATTTATTAGATTGCATTTTGATGATTCGGATCTGCCGTTAAGTTTTTGTTTGCTTTACCTAAATGGTCGTACTTTTAGAACGGACCTCAGAAAATATCAGCTAATCAGCGGCGAACGTCACTTTACGAAGTTATGCAGAACGAAAGTAATAGGTTAAAAAATTTTTCACTTGTTGTATAGCAAAGTAAGAGTATGTGAGGAGATGCTACAGCCATATTATCTCATGTTCACTGCTTGCCATGTGCGATGATAACTATGGTGTACCGAAAGAAACTAGCTGATCAAGCTCGTCAAAGGCTGATTAATCGCTCAGTCCTGAGAACAAGGGATGTCAACCCTGCACAGATTCCATGCGCCTCGTTCTCCTGTCATCGAGAAGCTTATAAAGCGAGCATGCCTCAAAAGCTCTTACTTCTCCTCATATCGACATTAAGAGACATCTGAAAGAAATGGTCGTTTTCTTTGACAAAGATCCACGAGATACGGATCAGTTCGTTGGTATGTCACTCAATAAACCCATAATTTACTTAATGACTATTCTAAAACCAATTTTACGCCGCAATTTGGAATCAACTTGCGATCAACAGTTTCATGCATACATTTCTGTTTCGTTAAGAAAAGAAGTCCAGCGAGTCTCATGTTCTTGATGCCGACGTGCGAACCGACTTAAAATCTTTGGAATGGAACTTTGATGTATTTACCTTGGAGAAGCTGACAATGAAAAGGTATGGCACCAATTTTAAATACAACAAATATAAATGCTTAAATGTTCGTCGCAGGCCGCTTGCCACGTTGGTGATGGAAATATTTCAGCAATGGAATGTGCATGAGTTCCTGGATTGCAGCCTTTCGTGTCTGGACAGGTGGATTCAAGCCATCGAAGCTAATTACCACGCTGAGAATCCGTACCACAATTCGACGCACGCTGCAGATGTGCTTCAGGCAACGGCATACTTCCTCTCCACGCCTTTTTTATCGGTAGAATAGCCCAGAATATTTTTTTGTTTTACTTTTACTATGTACGTTCACTACCCGATGCGATATTGATATTGTTATCGTTAGCTGTGGGGCAAGATGGCCTCCGCACGACATGCGTTCAGATTAGCTGCGTATGGCCTGAATGGCTTTCTGACCTTTAATAATGAGAACGATTGACAGAGATGCAAAAGCCCTTTAAGCGTGTTTTAAGCATTAAGCATGTCATAAGCATACGTCGAGGTTACTCCGTCGATAGAGTGTCTGCATCAAAACTGAGAAGTCGTGGGCTGCAGCCTCAGTTCAGTTACTGGCCTTTCTTTCTTCCGAGGTAGTTGAATGGCTTCAAATCTGTGAAGGGAAGACTGCACACTATGCTAACCACATTTGTTGTGGATGCCGCTTTGAAATGAGGAAAGCCTGACTGATGTCAGGTAAATGGAGATCAGCGAGTGCACTATTTACTTCATCAAAGGAAAGACGCCAGAAATAACTCTAACATTAAAGTATATGGAAGACCGGTTTTCCAACGGTTACAAACTTACTTTCCTTTTTTACAAGCCATGGAACATAAACTTTCCCAAATACAAGATACCACAGTGTCTCCGTTGTTCACAGTTGATCAGATTAGAAATTACTTTTACGGTTGTTTCAGAGCCTGACAAGATTCATTCTTGAACAAGACAAGCAGTTGATAACAATTTGCGTTATGTACGATTATATATATCATACTATTATAAGTAGTTTCATTTGCTAGTTGATTTAGCGAAATTTGCAAATTCTAAATTAGAAATTTAGTTGCTGTGTGTTAAGATGATTGCTTTGGGTCACTGGCATAGGCAGAAAGTCTTTGGCTTCTAATGTTCGTTATATCCGCTTTTTCTATAAGGCACCGGTTGCTGCATCCTCGAAGGAACTATTGATCTCCAAAAGTAGATTTGCTTTGTTCCTCCCCTCTGAATAGGCGTCGACTACGTTTCCGCTTCAACATCAGATGGTCATGAGTTGCAGGGAATGGTTTATGTTCAGCCAGATTGCCTAACAGATTCAGCCTCTTTTTCTGAATCTCGGCATCTACTTAGGTGCTTTGTGCCCGTGAGAGATTGGAGTCATTCATTCTTTTCCTGGACCTGCCAGTTAACCCTCATTATGCATGCAAGCCAGCACTGCTGTATGCAGTTAACCTTTGTTCTTGTTCTTTCGTCAGAGCAACAGTCGCCGTTGTGTCTATCAACACTGACCTGACCGAGGCGAGGTACAAACGATTTTTTGGTGCAAAACGTTGCTTCTCTCTCAACCCAAAAATGCTGTAAGTTGCCAGAAACTGGTTGCCATGAGCTGAGGTACT